ATATATATACTATCTTGTTATTTGTGAATAATGACAGTTTTCTTTCTTCTTAGCCAATCCACATACATTTATTTCTTTTCTGTGTTGTCTTACATTGGCTAGGACCTCAAGTACAATATAGAAGTGTTAATAGCAGATTTCTTTGTCTTGATCTCAAACTTTCAGAGGCACTTTCAGCATTTCACCCTTAGTAAAATGTTTACTGTAGGTTTTTTTTTTTAAGGTTTATTTATTTATTTGAGAGAGAGAGAGCATTGGGGTGGGGGGAGGGCGGGAAAAGGGAGAGGGAGAGAGAATCCCAAACAAGCCTGATCTCATGACCCTAAGATCACCACCTGAGCCAGGACCAAGAGTTGGGTGCTCAGTGGACTGCGCCACCTAGGCACCCCACTGTAGGTGTTTTTTAAGATACTTATATTTCATCAAGGAAGATCCTTCTATTTCTCCTTTTCTTAAAGAGATTTTTTCATGATTCTTTATTGGATTTTATCAAATGTATTTTCATTTCATTCATTGGTTGAGATGATTCTATGATTTTTCTCCTTTATTCTATTAATGTGATAAATTGACTAAATTTTGAATGTTTAACAGTCTTACATTTCTGATATATACACATTTTGGTTGTATGTTTCACTGAAATTTGGTCTGCTAATATTTTGAATAGAGTTTTCGCATCTCTTTTTATGGGAGAGGTTGGTTTGTAATTGTCCTTTCATATGAAGACTTTGTCAGGTATTGATATCAAGGTTTGCACAGCTCATAAAATGAATTGGGAAGTGGTCCCTCTTCTGTTTTCTGGACAACTCTGTAAGATTGGTGTTATTTCTTCCGTAAGTGTTGACTCATCTGGACCAGGAATTATGGATTCAGTGTCTTTAGTAGCTATTGGACTGTTAAGAGTCTTCTAGCCTTTTTGTGTTATAGAATTTTCCCATATCAAATTTATTGGCGTAAAGCTCTTCATGATATTCTTTCATTATCTTTTTAATGTCCATAGAACCTAGAGTGATAATCACTTTTTCACATCTCACTGGTTATTTGTGCCCCTTTTCTTGATGAGTCTTCTCAGGGGTTTATTTATTTATAGGTCTTTTCAAAGGCTAGACTTCAGGCTTTGTTAATGCTCTCAAATGTAAACTTTTTCCCTATTCTATTAATTTCTATTCTTTATTACTTTTTTCTATTTTTCTTTATTTGGATTCATTTAGTTTTTCTAACTCCTTAAGATAGGTGTTTAGATCTTTGATTTCCAGCCCTTTTTTCTAATATTTTAGAAAGCATTTTAAGACTTTGAATTTTCTTCAGTCATGCCTTTATCTGCATCCCATACATTTTGATATCTTATTTTCATTATTTATTTCATTATTATTTAGTTCTCAGTTACATTGTGAATTCTTCCCCCACTCATCAGTTATTTGGAGGTTTATTGCTTAATTTCCAAAATTTGGGGGATTTTCTTACTATTTTTGTTATTTTTAGCTTAATTCCACTGTGATTAGAGAATATATTATTTGACTTTTTGGAAATTTGTTGAGACTTGCTGTGTGGCCCAGTAATATGGTCAGTTTATGTTCCATGTCACTTGAAAAGGATGTGCATTTTGCCATTATTTGGTATAGAATTCTACACGTGCCAGTTATGTTCATTATGTTAATATAAACAATTATTCAAATTTTCTATATTTTCATTGACTTTTTTCTTTGTTTATTCTATCAGATACTGAGGTATGTCAGAATCTTCCATTATGATTGTGGTCTTTATTTCTCCTTTTACATTTGTCAGTTTTTAATTTATCTCTGGAGGCTAAAATATTATATACATGCTAATTGAAAATTGTTATGGTCTCCTGGTGGATTGACTTTTTGAAATGCTCCTGTTTATCTCTCATGTACTTCTTACTTTAAAGTTTACTTTTTAAATCTGATTTCAGCATAACCATACCACCTCTTCATTCGTTAGTATTTCCGTGATATATTGTTTCCACCCTTTCACTTTTATTCTTTATTCTTAATGTGTATCATTTATAAGTAGCATACAGTTAGTTGTTTATTTTTATCCAATCTGATTCTTTGCCTTCAATTGGCATAATTGGTCTGTTTACATTTAATTTATTACTGATATATTTGGGTTTAAATATAAAATTTTACTACCATTTTAAAATTTAAAAAAAATAAAATTTATTTGTTACAACTGTTCTATATTCTCTGCTTTCTTCTCATTTTCATATTAAATATATTCTCTACTTCCTCTTTTATTACACATTCTTGAATGGTCTTTTATTGGTTACTGATTTTTTTTTTAACAGATTTTTTTTTTTCCAACATTTTCTCTGGCTTTTCAAATTGTTCTCAATGGAAGGTTGTTTCAACACAAGCTAGTCTTTCCTTGCTAACACGGGATTGAACTTAATTTTAATATACATTTTAAACTAAAACAAAACAAAACGAAAAAAACTCTCTACTTTAAGACAGCTCCCAGATTGACCAGATTCGTAGAGATCGCCAGCATGTTAATGTTAGCTACTAGAGTAACTAAAAATTCACAGAATTTAAAAACAGCTTCTGCTGCTGTTTTTGCACTATGTGTACTTCTTATATTGTGTTTTGAAAACAATTACAAATTTAAGTATTTGTGAGTTGAATATAGTTAATAACTTTAGATTCTCTTCTGGTGCAAGTATTCAGTTTACCAGTGTCTTCTCTGATGGTATTCTACTATAAGGCAGTATAGAACAGCTAAATCTAATATTGTTTCCAATGTTTTATAAATGTCATAAGACCTTTATAAATATGATGTATTTTGTGACAGTTTAAGAGATTGGACTACAGTGACATTTATTAATAAACTAAAAATCAGTCCATAAAATGTGAGATGATACTTTTATTTATTTAGTCAATTTATTTTGAATGAAGAGGAGTTCCCACTTTTTGAGTGAGAATTTTTTTATTTTCTAAGTAGTTTTATTTAAGAGACTTTTGGTCACACATGGAGATTGGAATATGTTTACTTCTTCCTCATTCCTAAATCCAGTAAAATGATGGTAAAATTAATAAGGGCATAATGAAGAAAATGAAAGAGGCAACATAATATCTGACTAGAGAAGTGAGGTTTTAGAAATGTTAGAAAGCAGATGGATAAATTATCACCATTTAGCAGAGCTGAGCAGTTTTGATTGAACATAATAGTGGTCAGAAGATTGAACTGTAACATCCCCCTGAATGTTGAGTCATATATTCATTTTTAGTGTCTGTATAATGAATTATCGTATTTTATGTAACCATTCTCCCATTAATGAACATTGAAGTTCTTCAGCTCTGAGGTATGTCAGAATCTTCCATTATGATTGTGGTCTTTATTTCTCCTTTTACATTTGTAATATAATAAGGCATAATGCATAATAAATGCATTCCATGCATTTATTCTTTGAAAAATATTTTAGATATCCTTTTTAAAATTGTTTCCCCAAAATTGCTGAGTCAAAGTTTATGTCTTATGGATATTGCCCCCTTCTGCCAGATCGCTTCCCAAAGGCCATTCTCACCATTACCATCAATGTGGAATCTCTGGTGTCACTACATCCTAACTACCATTACGTTTACCTTAAGGTGGGTGTCAGGGGAGGAATGGGTGGTCTTGCAGTAGATTTATTGACTGTTGTGCTGGGAGAGACATGAATAACAAGTGTACAGATTACTAGGTAAAGTTTACCTGGCTACCTTTACTGTCGTTGACTTAGGATAATGACAGGTGCTATGAGTTTAGAGGAAAAGGAGATTTCCTTTATTTGAGATTTTCAGGGGAGACTTCCAAGTAGGAAGTAGAATTTGAGCTACATCTAAGATGGCAAAGATTTGAAGAGAAAAATTTGGATAGACAACAAAAGATATGTCAGTCTAGATCCATTCAGGAGACAGAAACCACACAGTAACTTAAATAGTTAAGGAATTACTAAGCTGTGGAAAAAGAGAAACTCTAAAATTGTTATATAAAGAAAACCCTATAAAGATAGCCTAGGGCTGAGGGAGAGTACCCAAGAAAGGACAAACATAGAATGTGGGTTTAGATCTCATTGAAGAAGGTGTGGTTGCAGGTGTGTGGTAGAGAAATTTGGTGGTTGTCTGCACCAAAGCTGGTCCACAGTCACTGTGTTAGCAGGTGAACCAAGGCTGGTGAGAGGTTGTGCAGAGTGAATCAGGGAGCTGGTGCAGGTGTGAGGTCTGGAGTGGTGGCGCATCTGTTGGAAGGGCCACAGTAAACCACTCTGGGATCCATCCAGGTGAGTTGAGGCTGCTAAGCACAGTCAGAGGAGTTTGGGGCACTGCTTTGGGTACTGCTATGAATAGGCGGTTGGAGAAGCTTCCCTCTTAAGCAATTCAGAGCTCTATTGGGCAAGGCAGTTCCAGGCTACTGTGTGGTCAGGTGGCTGGTTCTTTAGTGTGCCTGTGGGCTGAGGAGAGGGTGCAGGGAGCAGCCACCTGGTCTGAGGTACACACCTGTGCTATCTGGGGCTCTTGCCATATTGTTGCTGTTGCTGCCAGAAGAAAGAGCAAGAGAAAGAGGAAACACATAGCAGCCAGCCAGATGCTGGAGAAAGCTGTACTCTTCAGGCACGTTAGCACTAGAACCGGGCATTTTTTCAGTCTTGGTGCTATTGACTTTTTGGGCTAGTTAATTCTTTGTTGTGAGTGCTGCCCTCAGCACTGTAGGATGTTAGGCGGCATCCCTGGCTAATCGGATCCTGATTCACACTCCTGTCTAGTCTTTCACTTCACTGAAGACATGTCTCTCTGTTTCTCCTTACTCTTATGGTTTGTTTTAATTTTGTGTGTGTGTGTGTGTGTGTGATCCTATAATCCAGAATAGTTGACTAGTCCTATACCTCCTGTATTTGCTTGTGTATATTGAAAGTTGCCTTTTTTAAAAATTCTTGAATATTGCCTTTGGCTCAAAGCTTTACGTTTTAGCGACTCACTATATTGTTTTTCTCCGCTTATTTAGAAATGGACTCGGAAATCAAGGAAGAAGTTCCTGTGCATGAGGAATTTATTTTATGTTGTGGAGTTGAAACCCAGGTTCTAAAATGTGGGCCCTGGACTAACCTCTTCAGTGAGCCAAGAGCCAATAGGCCTAAGCTGCTTATTTTTATTATTACAGGTAAGTTTAAAAATCTGGATGAGGGGTCTATCTACAGATACTTATAATAACTTTTTCAGATTTTAAAGAGAAATTGATAAATATAAAAAAACTCTGTGGAAGGAAATAAAATTACTCAAACCATTGATAACAACCACCCTTGGTCCTTTAGTGGCTGGGCTTTTTGGCTTTTTTTCTCTGCATTTATATTATGTATGTTATGTTGTCTATTATATATATTTTAAATCATAATTAGAAGTATACTATACATATAGTTTTACAATCCACTATTTAAAATTCCTTAATATTTAGAATAATTAGAACTATCACATTTTTGACGGTTTTCTTAATAGTTTTTTCTGTCTTATTCCAAGATGATTATACGTTTAGTAAAACATTTATCCTGAGATTTGGCAACTGAGTCATTTGTGACTTATGCTGGATCACTATCAATAGAATGTTAGGTATGGGTAGATGCTTGATTGTAGGTATTCAAAGTGCTTTTAAAATTGTGAGTTAGAACATATTTATATCAGCCTGAAAGATTAAAAGTGAAACTGTAAATATGTATCATATCATATATAGCTAAGTCAATGGGGTATTATGGTTGCATTTCCTTTTTTTTTTTTTTTTAACAATTTTATTTGTTTGAAAGAGAGGCAGAGATAGTGATAGAGAACACGAGCAGGGAGGAGAGGGAGAAGCAGGCTCCCCCTGGAGCAGGGAGTCTGACACAAGGCTCCATCCCAGGACCCTGGGATCATGACCTGAGCCCAAGGCAGACGCTTAACCGACTGAGCCACCCAGCTGCACCGCATTTCTTTTCTTGTACATTTTTTCTTGTTTGTTCTCCCTGGGTTAATGATTGTCTTATTTGCTTAGTTTTCTGTTTTTGAATCACTATTTATCCTTAAATTATTCTCTAGGAAGTGGGAAAAAAAATCCTCTTACTGCGTTTAAGTAATCAGTCAGGTTTTGTTTTTTTCTTTCTTTGGAGATATCCTTCACAGAACTCTGTTCTTTGGCTCCAGTCTGGACTGACTGACCTGTGGGTCTGCTGCACAGGCCATCCTGGGGATTCTTTTCACTTTCCTCCTGGGTTAGATTACATTTCCTGGATCCCATATTTTCTTATTTCTTGGTTTATTGCTTAAGCACATCTCCTAGTAACTTCCTGAGAATAGGTGCATGGGAAGTAATCTTTTAAAGATCTATCATGTCAGAAAATGTTTTAGACTTCTAGATTGCAGATCATTTTTCCTGACAATTTAGAGGGCGTCTTAGCTGTTTTCTAGGGTTCAGAGCTGTTTTGAGAAGTCTCAGTATCATTCTCATTTTTGATTTTTTGTATTTGAAGCTCTCCTGCAAGGAAGAACATTTTAGATCTTTTCTTCGTTGTAAGATTCTGAAATTTTATAGTAAAAGTACCTTGCTGTGGATGTTTTTTCATCCACTGTAAGCTTTAGTGGACCCTTTTACACCAGAAACTCATATACTTCAATTCTAAAAGCTATGTTTTTTCTTTTTTTATAGTCTCTTGTTTCATGGGTACATACATTATCATTTCCTTTGGCTTTTTGCATTGTTAGAGTTTTTACCATTTGTTTACATTAGTGTTTGTTTTTCCTCAAATGTTTGGTAACCCTTTCATTTTTCAGAGGAAGACATAAACAGCTAATTGAAATCTTCGTGTTCAGTGATGAGACTTGTCTACAGTTGCGCCTAGAGTGACCAACCATCGTAGTCTGAGAGATTTTCCACTTCACTGAAGTGGAAAATCTCACATGATTTCTGGTACTAAAACCACAACAGCCCTAGGCAAAACAGGATGGCTGGTCACTCTAGGAATCTTCATGCTAGGGTAATCGGGTAGGGACCCAGCATTTCACTGGAGAATTTCCAGCTTTCATATCTGTAGCTGTTTCTTGGGCCGTTCAGTTTTTCCAGGAAGGAATCTTCCAGTATCCAGTTTGAGGAGTGGAAGCCTGTTTGCTGATGTTCAGGGCTGAACAAGGGAAAGAAGGTTGGGAGTTTCAGTGTTTAGTAAACAATTGATCTAACCCCTTCTCAGTATAGTGCTTCTGTTTGCGGCTGGCCTGAGATTCCTGATCCAAAACGTCTCTTCCATGGGGCACCTGGGTGGCTCAGTCGTTAAGCGTCTGCCTTCAGCTCAGGTCATGATCCCAGGGTCCTGGGATCGAGCCCCGCATCGGGCTCCCTGCTCCGCGAGAAGCCTGCTTCTCCTCCCACTCCCCCTGCTTGTGTTCCCTCTCTCGCTGTGTCTCGCTCTGTCAAATAAATAAATAAAATCTTTAAAAAAAAAAAAAGTCTCTTCCGTTTAACCTCTTCTGGAAATAAAACTTCCAGTCTCCTGCCATGATGTAAAAGTCTTTTTGGAAAGCAGTCTGTTGACATCTATTAAAATTAAAAATACATATGCTTTGCTAGCAGCAAGGGAGAGTTTGAAATTATAGGCATGACACATGCTATTTGATGGAGCAGAGATTTGAGGCCAGGGCAGAGTATAGAATTGAGAAAGTAAGTAGAAACGTTGTCTTAGACTGGAGATGGAATATTCTTCTGAGGCGAGCATGAAGGAGGTGAAGTTAATTACTCAAGTGGAGAAGCGTGAAGGCATGTCAGAGGGAGTAAAGTAGTTCGTGCCTCCTGAACTGTGTTCTCTGCTAATTAAGAGTTGAGGTGATCTGTTGAGAATAAGTATGGCAGAGGGTAGATAAGGGCCCTGAGGAAAGTGATCAGCATTGAGAATAGCAGATATGTAGGATGAAAAGAATTATCAACCAAAACCAAGTAGACAAATTTTGAGCAGCACTGTGATGGAATAGCGGGTGTGTTGGGAGTAAGGTCTGAAAGAGTAGAAGGCCTGTCAGAGTGAGAATGGTTTGAATGTTAACCATTGCTGAGTAATGAGAAAATCTAAGCCTGTGATCCTTAAAGTTGGGGTCGGGACCAGCAGTATCATCCGAGAACTCCCTAGATATGCAGGTTCTGGGGCCCCATTGTAGACCTTCTGAACCAGAAACTCTGGGGATGGAGCAGCCTCTGTTTTAACAAACCTTCCAGAGGATTGTGATATGCACACCACTGATGAGGACGTAGCTCATTGTATAAGCCTAATGTACCTGAAGTTCTTTGAATTTGATCAAGGTAATGAGTTATGAGACAAAAGATGTTGGCTCAGTGAATCCACCTGGAATTTAAAATCTGACGTGGAATGGCAAGTGAAACTGTCATTTAAGGATCAAGGTTTTCGAGGAATGTGTGAGAATGACTAAACAGTTGATAGATGGAAATGGAGGCGGAGAGGTTGTTACAGTAAAATGGATTAGTAAGTGGAGCTGATTGCTCACTGTGCTTCCCCACTCAGAGGTGCTCATTCACTCACTCATGTGCCCTGGGTACGGGGAACCCTGTGTTGCAGAAGTCTTTGCTCTCCTTGAGGCATAAGAGGTGTTAGAGAAGAGTGCCTGCTCTACTACACAGGCTTGAAAGGAAGAGTCCGTGCTAGGGGAGGGCCAGGTTTAACATACGATGAAGAGGTAGATAGAGGGAGCATTCGGTGAACACCTGGTGGAGAAAGGGAAACTTAAAACATTTGTTGTTTTATGGTGTTGCTGTTTTATAATGCTTTGACATTTTCAGATGATACTTAGTTTCTTAGTGTTGTTTTGTTGTTGTTGTTGTTGTTTTTTAGTTTCTTAGTGTTCTTTCATGTTTGCCCTTCTATTCTCATTGCTGCCCTTGGCCCTTTTTCTTGGAGTTCATGGGAGCTGTAGGCTGGTGCTGCTCGTTAGTTTTTGGAATTCAGAACTGTATTTTGTATTTGGGCTGAGTCTATTTATACTGTGGGGAAAATGAGTACTTAGCAAAATTAATCAATTACTTTTAAGTTGGTAATGATAATGAGGAGTGATTTATTAGAATCCACAGATTGAGGAACTTTTAATTTCATCTTTTCCAGTGAACCTATGTTTTAGAGTTTTTGTTAAGTAACAGTATCCTTGGACTTCCTTTAAATAGGGAAATGAGCAAAGGAAGCCAATTTGAGAACTCACTCTAGAACATATTGAGTCATTATAACTCTCAAGGGGTCATGTGGGTATAATAGAGTCATGTAATGTGTCTTATATGGAGTATAGTGATTGGACATGGAACGGACAAGGCTCCTTAGGTAAGCCCAAAGTTCTGTCCACCTGACAGCTTCTGTATAGATGCTGTGCCACATTAATTTTATATGTGGCAGTTTTTGTCCCCTACAAGATTAACTGGAAGGTATAAGTCTGCAATTGCAATGTTGAATAGTTAGAGTTTATTGACAATTGGGGTCTAGAGATGGTCACTGCAGCCTCTGTTATATGTTGCTCAGGCATTTGACTATATGTTCAGTCAAGTATGTGTTTATAACACATTTTGATATGCTTTGATAAAATGTTTTACTAGCATTTTTATATTGGAATGTTTTCAAACATCCCTACTCCTGAAGATACAAATATACATGCAGGCGTGTGTATGTATCTGATTTTAGTTGCATAAACAAGACCCTTTTCAATCTTTTGTGGTTTCCTAACCAAGAAATTAAGTTCGTGGCTCATAAAGTGTAACATAAACCGTAATATTTACATGGCGAAGTATGCAATGACCTTTAAATAGTGTGTTATGTTTTCTACTTCCATCTCAGTTGTGAGTTGGATCTTCATGTTACTTACTGGCCATTGTGGACTCTTCTGTTTCTTCTGGAGCCAAGCTTTTCATTGCTTGAGGGCCTTTGCACCTGTTCTTCCCCTGTCCTGGTCTCCTACCTCACATTTTTACAAGGTTGATTTGTTTTCATCTTTTCAGTCGTAGCTAAATGCCACCTCCTCAAACATTTTTCTCAGGCCACCCTAATTTCTTCCCTTCTCTATCACACGCTGTTTATTTCCCTCATAGAAGTTATCACACTCTTGAGTTATCTTACTTACTTATTAAGTTATGTGTATATATTTTCCTACTATACTATGAATTACAAAAAGACCTTTATCTGTCCAGTGCCTGACACAGTGGCTTCCATGTAGTAAGTGGTCAATAAATAACTGATAACTAAAAGAATATACAAAAGAAGCTATAGCACTGACTAGAATGAAATCAGAATGGAGTAGTTGACATTATCATTTACTTAATGATGATAAAATGGTGAACAAGAAAGCTTAAGATCTTATAGTCATTAAGGGAAAGAACTCAAAACCCAGAGATAGGGAGAAAACATTGTTTTATAGCAGTTCATTAGCTAATACTCTTCAGTTTCATATTGTAACTCATCATAATTATTGCATCTAAATCATGTAGTTGTTACCTATGAATTCTTCTGAAACCAGTTTTAACATGCTATACACCTTAAACCACAGAACGTCACGTGTCAAATTTATTCAATAAAAAAATAAATATGTAATAATAATGTTAGCAATAATAGCTACCATTTATTCAGCACTTACTATGTGCCAAGTATCGTGCAAGGGATTGCCTGTGCATTACCCCTAATGATAATGCCAGCTACTTTGTGGGCCTTTTGTAAGATTAACTAAAACAAGGTATGCAGAAGATCCTAAACCAGGTAATTTATGCTCTTTTTTAAATTCATTATTACTGTTTTCTTTTGTATATTCTTCCAGCCATCAAATATTTATTGAGCACTTATCATCTGTGTGATCTTGGGCAAGCTATTTAACCTCCTTGTGCCTCAGTTTCCTCATCCATACAATGGAAATAAGAATAGTACTACCTCATGGGAGGACTAAATGAGTTAACACGTGCAAAACACTTAAATGCTGCCTGGCATGTAATAATGCACAGCACTTTAAAATGTGGACTAGGGGCACCTGGGTGGCTCAGTTGGTTGAGCATCCAACTTGTGATTTCAGCTCAGGTCATGATCTCAGGTCAGGAGATCAAGCCCTGCATTGGGATCCACACTCAGTGGAGGGTCTGCTTCAGACTCTCTCTCCCTCTCCCTCTGCCCCTCCCCTGCTTGCTCTCTCTTTCTCTCTCTCTCTCAAATAAATAAATAAATAAATAAAATGTGGACTGTTATTATTTTCTAGCCTTATGAAAACCACTGTAAAACTTTGTGAGAGACATAAAACATTTGAATGAGACATGACCCATTCCTAAAAGATTATACTCAGTAATGTAAAAAAATCAAATCTTTCTAAATTAATGTGTAAATGAGATGAAATTTCAGTCAGAATTCCAAAAAGATTTTTAAAAATTGAAGCTGGTGAAAGTAATTCTAAAGGTTATGAGACCAGGCTAGAAAATTTAGGGGGAAAAATTAAGAGAAGGGACTTGCCCTGTCAGTTACTGAAACATTAATAAATACATACATACATACATACATACATACATACATACCCGAGACAGTAATCAAGACAGTATGGCACTGGCAGAGGAGAAAATAAGTAGAATTATTTAGAATCAGAATTAGCAAGCTGGGGGCGCCTGGGTGGCTCAGTCAGTTGAGTGGCTGCCTTTGGCTCAGGTCATGATCCTGGGGTCCTGGGATCAAGCCCCACGTCCAGCTCCCTGCTCAGCGGAGAGCCTGCTTCTCCCTCTCCCTCTGTCTGCCACTCTGCCTACTTGTGCTCTCTATCTCTCTGTCAAATAAATAAATAAAATCTTATAAAAAAAGAATTAGCAAGCTAATGTAAAAATTCAGTATTAAATTCAGAAGACATTTCAAATCAATGCAGAAAGAATGGATTATATAATAAATGGTCTTGGGACACTTGGCTAATCACTTGGAACGAAGTTGGATTGCTACTTTGTACTTTACACTCAGAAATATTCCAGACTTACTGAAGATTTAGATATAAAACATGAAACAGTGCTACCCACATCCACCACAGATGTTACAGCCCTGGTGCTATACACCCCTCCTCTCCTCCTCCTCCTCAAGCTGCCCCATGTCAGTCATGGGGCATATTACTGTGTTTGAGGAAGTTTCTGTGCTATTTAACAAAGATGACATGAGCACAATAACAAAAAGAAATTTGGAGCATGGGTTAGTAGGTCAGAATGCAGCAGAAGCAAAATGGCAATATGAGTGAATAGGCCGTTTATTACCATCATGGCTAGACATGACAAGTCTGAAGAGCCAACATTTATGCAGCACTTGTGTATCAGGCAGTGTTTAAGTACTTTATATACGTTAATTCACTTAGTTCTTACATGACGTATTTGATTATTATCCTCATCTTGTGGACAAAGAAGCTAAGACCCAGAGAGGTTAGGTAACTTGCCGAAGGTCACACACTTGTTAAGTAGCAAAGCCAGGATTCGACCTCACACAGTCTGGCTCCAGAGTTTATGCCCTTAACCACTTTGCTTCTTTGCCTGTCTAGGACACTGAAAGATGCAGGTAATGAAGAAATCAGTGTCATGTGACAAGGGTGGCAGAGGTTCAATCAGTGCAGCAAAACCATGTCATGTAATTGCAAAGAGGAGAAAACCTAATAGCATGAAGAAATAATAAATTGATTGGCAAATTGATATTGATGGAAGTGGACCAGTATCTGTGAAAACATTATACAGATGATGATTGCAGGATGAAAGCCCCATTTCACTGTCTTTTCCCCTAAAAATGTATCAGATTGACTCTTCTTCTAAAAGGTCATTATTCATTCTATTTCTCTATAGCAAACCCATGTCAAAAATACCTTCTGTATATACACAAGAAAAGTCTATATGTATTAGTTGGTGGTCTTTTTCCCAAAAGGTGAAACTATACATCTGCTTATAATATAAGTACTTGTGATAAATGATGAGGAAACCTCAGTAAACTCCTCAGAGTACTGTTTGGGAATGATTCTTACACTGATTTGTTTTCATGCAGCTTGCTTTACTGAGCACAGTAAAATCTTGAAGGGCTTTAGAGACAGGATTATAATGACTTTGAACTACTAGGATGATCATGGGAAGCCACTGAGAGGTGTTTAAATTAGGATACTGCTATGAGTTGATTTGAAGTTTGAAGGTATCTTTCTGGGTACCCTGCAGAATGGGCTCCCAGGGGACAAGAGTAGATAGAAGGCCCATGAGGAGGCTGCTGCAGGAAACTCAAAGTGGTAATACTAATGGAGAGACATGAGATGCATAAGATATGAGATCTATTTCGGAAACAAAGTTGACAGGACTTATTGGTGAATTGGATGTGAAAAACAGGGAGAAACCAAGAGTGACTCCTGGTGTTAGGACTTGAGTATTGGGTTTAGGATTGGTGGTTGCATTTATTAAGCTGAGGAATAGGGAGGAAGAATTTATCTTGAAACCATTGGGGAGCAAAGCAGGAGCAGAAATTTTCTGAGTAATCATTCCCAGACTTACGGTATAAAGAATATTAAAATTGAAGTGTATATATACATGTTAGTAGATTTTTAGAAGAAAGTGTGAGGTCAAATGGATCCTTCTTTTCCACTCTGCATATCTTATGTGAGCTTATTGCTTTAGTTAACTAAGGTCTGTGTTTCTTTACTTAGGTAATCCAGGTTTTTCTGCCTTTTATGCACCATTTGCAAAGGCTTTGTACTCCTCAATAAACCGACGCTTTCCAGTTTGGGTTATCAGTCATGCTGGACATGTTTTGGTCCCCAAAGGCAAGAAGATTCTTACAACCTCAGACGGTATGTCTTTATTAACATCTCTTTTCCTTTACAGCAAGTGGGTGTTCATGTGTCTAGAAAGTCTGCTAAGGTTAAGAGTTACACCATTGGAAACCTCTGCTTGTGGCATTGGGCGCATGCTGCCACATTTTGGTAATTTTAGGATTTTTAAAGTCTTTTCATTTTCTGCAGGTAGTTTTCTCTAAAAATTTGAGTAGATCAAACAATTGTCTAAAACTTGCCTTCTCTGTGGACCAACTAGTAATCAGCTATATATTTATTGATCAAGCACTATATTTCCAGGGCTGTACTAAGAGGAATGGTGGAGGAAAAAATATTGTAAGCCATGGTCCTTACTCTAAAGAGGCTCTTACCCTAACGTTTAGAGAATGATTAAGTGATAAACTCTGGCCTGCTGATGATGTGGATATTTGGGAAATAAAGGAAAGAACACGGTATGGGTTCGAAAAGACTGTGGAGTAGATGGGTTCCAACAGTTGAGTAGAATTTGGATCCGGGGGTTGTGCGGCGTGCAGAGGTGTAACAGGCAGAGGATGTAGCACAACAGGAGAGATTCAGTAGGTGTGCTGGTGCTGGGCAGGGCCAGACCTAGAGGAACCTCGGAGCTGGGGAGAGAGCCATGACTCCATTGGTAGACTCCTGGAGGCCTTTAAATGGAGAAAGTAGCACCAGGTAGCTGCAAATTACCTGCTTCTAACATAGGAAAATTCAGCATTCTCACTCTTCTAAAAAAGAAAAATATAACTTCACTTCTCCATAGGCATTCCATTTAAGGGCCGTTTGTCCCAAGCATGACCCTTAGTTAATCTGAGGTGGGAGAGAGGTGGCTGTGGCTCTGGTTGGCTCCTCTTTCTGGTATGCTTCTCCTATGGTATGAGCATCTTACCGAGCATCTAGTGATAGGGGAAACTGTGGGGAGGGAAGGAGAAAGGAGCAGGTGATACAGGAACTCTCTGTGCTAATCTGTTCAAATTTTCTATAAATCTAAAAGCATTCTTTAAAACAAAACCTGTTAAGAAAATACTGGAATCTAAAAATAATTTGGTATTTAGATTTTGCTTTTTATCATGGCCGTAACAGAAACCGTAGATTAGGTACCTTCCTTAACAGGAATTTATTTTCTCATAGTCTGGAGGCTACAGGCCCAACATTAGGGTTTCAGCATGGTTAGGTTTTGGGGAGAGCCCTCCTGGCTTGCAAGTGCTCTCTTTCTCTTTGTGTCCTCATATGACAGAGGAGAGAGAATGATTTCATGTGCTCCAGGAAGCTCTCTGATATCTCTCCTTACAAGGCCACTAATCCCATCATGAGGGCTCCACCCTTATGGCCACCTTTAATCCTAATTAACTCCCAAGGCCCTATCTCTCAATACCATCACATGGCAGTTAGGGCTTCAATATAAGAATTTTAAGGGACACGGGTGCCTGGGTGGCTTAATCGGTTAAGCATCTGCCTTCAGCTCAGATCATGATCCCAGGCTCCTGGGATCAAGTCCCATGTCAGGCTCCCTGCTCAGTGGGGAGTCTGCTTCTCCCTCTCCCGCTGTGCGCGCGCTCTCTCTCTGTCTCTGTGTGTCTCTCTCTCTGTGTCAAATAAATAAATAAAATCTTAAAAAAAAAAAAGAATTTTAAGGGACACAAACATTTAGTCTGTAACAGTCCTGAGTAGGGATGCTATATACCAACATTCCAAATCTGATCACAAGTATAGGTCAGCATATACATGTGAACATTGCACCTGAATAATAGTAAACATACAAGTTACTTTTTGAAACATTTTTACTAAGTATTTATTCAGGTTTAGTAGTTGCCTTTGGTCTATCCTCAGAAGTATTTCCTGACAGTTTATAGAAACTGGTCCTTTTTGAAGCCTTGACCCTATTGAGTAACAGAAGAAGTTTCTAAGTGGAATTTCTTTGCACATTATGAACATCTGCAGGTATGCTAAGTTTATAAAAATTGCTTTATTTGAAGAAGTGGGTGACAGTTAAGAGGTAATTCATATTTTTATCCACATCCTATTTATGGCTGTTAATTGGAGCATATGGTCAAGACACAATATAATTATTGCAGAATTTAGGAAACAAAATCACCATCATGCATACAGGGTAGATACTCTTCAGTTCTGTAGTTAGCATGGAATTTGGTTGTCTTTTCTTTTCCCTCCTAAAGCCATAGCTCAAACTCTTTGTGTGTCACCTCACTGTGAACATCTCAGTGATTCTTTTTTTTTTTTTTTTTTTTGAGAGAAAGAGAGCTCCCAGAGCACAAGCAAGTTGAGGGGGCGGGGAAGGAGGGCAGAAAGTGAGAGAGAATATTAAACAGGCTGCGTGTACTCCATGCACTGCACTGATGCCTGCGGCTCAGTCTCACAACCCATGCGATCATGACCTGACCCAAAATCAAGAGTCGGACACTTACCTGACTGAGCCACCAGGTGCCCCGCAGCTCCCCAGTTCTTGACCTCTGTCTTACTTCTCACATATAGTAGTATAGATCAGCTTCCTGAAATCTTAGGTCTGGTTCCAGAATCCTGTGTTAACTTTAAATTGATAACGTCAGATACCAGCTCTTGAGGATGGAATTCAGTCTCCTTTTTTTCCCCCTAATTCCACTAAATTTAGTCATTTTTGAGTACCTGCTGCGAATATGCCTCTTTGCTAGCACTTAGGGAAAAATACACCTGTACTTAAAACACATCTGTTGCACTTACGTTGTTTATGGTTGGGTAATGTCACCGGCCAGACTTCCTGTGTCCTCCTCTTTAAGGCATCACACGTAAGATTACCCTCCTCAGGAAACCCTCTACTCACAGTTTCCACTGTCAGTGCTCAGGCCCTGGTGAGCCTTCTCTGCTTCCCTACGTCAGCCGCTCAGAGTTCTGCTGCCACCTTCACTACCTTGTTTACTGCCCTAATTATCTTTCATATAGAATTACAGATCTGTAGATTCAGAGCGATCCCTGTATGAATTCCCACCAAAATTCCAATTGTGGCATTTTTCACAGAAATAGAAAAAAATCCCAAAACTCGTATGGAATCATAAAAGTCACCAAATAGCCAATACAATCTTGAGAAAGAAGAACAAAGCTGAAGGCACCACACTTCCTGATTTCAAACGATATTGCAAAGCTGATAATCAAAACGGTAATAGCACTGGCATAAAAACAAACCAGTGGAACAGAATAGAGAGCCCAGAAATAAACACACATGTATAGAGCCAATTAATCTTTGACGGGGGCTCCAAGAATACACAATGGAGAAAGAGATAGTATCTTCAATAAATGGTGTTAATCAACAAAATGAAAAGGCAACCTGTGGAATAAGAGAAAATATTTGGAAACCGTCTATCTGACCCAAAATGTATAAGGAACTCATACGCCTCGATAGCAAAAAAAACTAATAGCCTGATTTAAAAATGGGCAAATTTTTCCAAAGAAAACATACCAATGGCCAGCAGAAATATGAAAAAGATGCTCAGCCTCACTAATCATTAGGGAAATGCAAATCAAAACCACAGTGAGACTCACTTCACTCCTGTTCAGATGACTGTTATCAAAAAGACAAAAAACACAAATTGGCAAGGGTGTGGAGAAAAGGGAACTCAGCACTGTTGGGACAACCATTACGGAAAACAATATGGGAGCTCCTCAAAAATTAAAAATAGAACTCCCATATGACCCAACAGTCCCACTTCTGGATCTATATCTAAAGGAAATGAAATCAGTATCTCAGAGATATCTATATACCCATATTCACTGCAGCATTTTTCACAGTATGTGGATAATTCCAAGATATGGAAACAAGTGACTGTTAATGGCTGAATAGGTAAAGAAAATGTGGTATACACACACACACAATGCAATATTATTCAGCTATGAAGAAAGAAGGAAATCCTGCCATTTTCAACAGCATGGATAAACCTGGAGAATATTATGCCAAGTGAAATAAGCCAGACACAGGAAGACAAATACTGTATGATCTCAGTTATATAGGGAATCGAAGAAAAGTCAAACTCATAAAATCAGAGAGTTCTATGAGCAGTTGCCAGTATTTGAGGGATGGGGGAAATGGGGAGATGTTGGTCAAAGGGTACAGACTTCCAGTTATAAGATGAATAAATTCTGGGGATCTAATGTACAACATGATGATTTTAGTTAATAATACTATATTGAATAATTGAAATTTGCTAAGAGAGTATATCTTAATGTTCTCACCATCACAAAAAAAAAAAGAAAGAAGGTAGTTACTCCCTCCATCCCAAGCCTCCTGATGGCAGTGGCCTCAGTTAGGAGTGCCTGCTATGCTTGCCCGGTACACATCACTGGTAGGGAGCTCCACAGACATTTCCTCCATGGGGGCCTTTATTTATGGCTGGGCTAGGTCTTGTGGTTCTTATTATGATTGCAGGATGCACTTCAGGAAGACACCATGAGGGAACTTTGAGGAACAAGATTTATTACCTACAGTTTCTTGAGGGTACATGGAAGGGGGAGCAGACCTGGGGCCCTGCCTTTATTAGAGCCCGAGGGTGGGGTGCCTACAGTTTTGCAGTTCCACTCTTTACTGGCCAATGTAAGGCGTAAGAGCCAGAGTTAGGGCTTGGGAAGGAAGTGGGTCATTCAAGAAGTCAGTTATCTTAAGTTACCCAAGGCTTTCTGAAAGGTACGTTCGTGGGTGGGGTGGCCTAGTTCCTTATCTGGTTGTTTTACTAGCAGTTGTGTCATACAGGTGGTAATATGCTTATTCAAGATGGATGTCTTTTGAAATGGAGGCCTAGTCAATCAAAAGCTTAACGTCAGGCACTTATACTACATTATGTGAGGTGATGGATATGTTAATTTGATTGTGGTAATCATTTCACGGTGTATCCGTATATTAAATCATCACATAAAAACAATTATGTGGTACAACCTAAGTATATACAATTTTTATTTGTCAGTCATACTTCAATAAAGCAGAAAAAAATTATAGAAAGTGGAAGATGAGTACATGCAGATCT